TCACTTCACTTCACTTCACTTCACTTCACTTCATAAGCAATAATACAGATAAGGGAACAAGCAGAAAATCCGAACAAACAATAATAAGAAGAATATGTTAATGCATAGTGGGTTTTCTGTACCTGAACACCTCTAGTCCCCATCCTGCCATAGCAGTGAAGAGCCGAGGTCCCAAGTCTCTGGCAGGGTTGATGGGATAGCCACAGTTCAGAGCCATGGACACTCCGATAGCCAGGATGCTCAGACCAATAACCAGTGGCTCCATTCCTTTAGGTGCCCCAATATTCTTCTTATCAACAATGGCTAAAATACAGAGGACCAGGGCGCCTGTGCCAATCACCTGTAAATAAAAACTAATGAGCAAAATATTCTTGGAAGCTTGTAGTAAGAAATAAAATTATGAGAGAAAGTTATTGTTATAGTGAGAATTATAACTAACTAGTTATTTTTATTCTTGAGATGGAAATGTGCTTTCAAAGTTCTCCACCTGAGATTTATATGCTTATGATTTATATGTATTTGTTCCCACCTTTTAATAACAGTCTATAAGCCGAAGCACATGCTTTAACATTGGAGTGCTGTTTCATTTCATTGTATAATTACTAGTGAAATTATGTGATTTTAAAAAACAAATTACTGTGTTTCACTCACCTGATCAATGAATCCATTTAACAATGAGAGATTTTCACGTGGATATGAGGCAAAGATACCTGCTGTGGCATTTTCACCAACTACAATTTGTTTTCCATCAGCAAAATTTGCGAAGGCACCTATGGACAAGAGAATCAGCTTTTCAACTAGAGAACGATTTTAGAAAAGAATTCATAGGTACTAATTTAATGACTGTTTAGTGTAATTGTAAAATAATTTTGAAAAAAATTATAATTTTTTTTAAATTATTTTTAAATGCTATTGCAATCTAGAAAAACTAGGCTACTCTGTAACATTACTGTTTTGGAGTAACTTGACCAGTCTACTGTTATATCTAATATCTATCTTAATCTAACAAAGATCAAACCAAACCAGACACAAATGTTTATGTTTAGTTTGAGTTGTGTGTGTGTGTGTGTGTGTGTGTATTGTGCGCATGACTAATGTCATGCCAAGGGTCATGAAAACCTAAAACACTTTTTTTTCTTCATGTTAACAGATATGTACAGGTTGCACTGAAAACAATATCACTTATTATATTTATTATTAAGGGAAAAATTTATATGTTTTGCCATTTGGTTTACAAAGCAAAGCTGAACCAACGTCATGAAATGTGACTGAAGTTGTAACTGACTGGAAAGTAAGCATCGGTGTCATTCGTTTCTAAGCTTTTCACCACATTATTCATAAGAATGAGCTCTTTCAGTCCAGCCAATGTGACCATTTAGGGATCAGGGGGTGGAGACGAGTAGGTTTAGGTATATGTAAGGTGGGAGGAGTTGGATCTGGATCTAACCACGCCCCCTGGATCTTGTGTTCTGCATTGAGGACCATCTCACATATGCTCCAGAAAAGCTCATTAGTTCAATACTGTAGTCATCATCACAGCATGTAAGATTATCAAAGTCATGTGGGCTGCTGGGCTAACCAACTTATTCATGCACAGATGCACACTTTTGACGACTTTTACTGCAGAGCTCTGGCTATATTTAACATCACATACATATATATTTATATATGGCTCTGTCTCCCCTTGTGACATAGTGAGAGGAATGAACTGCTGGCAGCATGAGGAGCAGATCTGCAGCTCAAGACTCATGACTTCTGATAATTCAGTTGCATGCATCACCACAATAACACATGCACAATTGTGTGCTTGAAGTCTAGAAGCCACTACTGAATGATAAACCACAGGGCCTCATGCCCCTCGACACATTTCCCCTGAACAACCCGACCCTGCAACACTACAATCATTGCCCTTTTATTCATGATTGATTTTTTTTTTACTTCTTCTTGATGTCATCTTCCAAATGTGCAATTGTTATAAAAACAATAATTAAAAAAAAAAATAATAAAATGCAAACATGCGAAAAAGTGCAATGAATAATTATTAGTATTATTAAAGGGATAGTTCACCCAAAAAATTCTGTCATTGATTACTCACCCTCATGTCGTTCCAAACCCGTAAGACCTTCGTTCATCTTCGGAACACAAATTAAGATATTTTTGATCAAATCTGAGAGCTCTCTGACCCTCCGTAGACAGCAATACGACTGAAATGTTACCAGGTCAAGAAACATAGCAAGGACATCGGTAAAATAGTCCATGTGACATCTAGGGTTCAACCGTAATTTTACAGAGCTACGAGAATACTTTTTGTGCGCAAAGAAAACAATAATACATAATTGATTCATTAATTCTTCTCCCTGAGTTACCGTCTTCCATTTGGAGAGTACTCCAGAACGTAATCAATGTAATGAGTGTTGTTTACGTTCAGTCCTACTTACTACTTTTCTGGACCCGGGAATAGACTTGTGCCGGTATTCGGTAATGCGATATATCACGGTAATGAATATGCACGATATTGTTATCATGGGCACTTCTAAATACCGTGAATAATTATATATTACAAATTATTTAGAATTTTGAATGCATTTTAAGAATACTTTTCCCATCAACTGGTCAAAATGCACAACAAAGCTGTATGCTGCATGAAAGAGGCGTGTGCACTCTGATGTAAACAAGCACGGACAAGAAGCACATGGCGGAACATGTGAGAGACGCTCTGGATGAAAGCGCACTTTCACTCTCTGACAGCAGATGGCTCTAAACTGCAGAAATAATAATAATAATAATAATTCATTTAAATACAGCCGTTACCCTATATAATGCATTAACCCTGTAAACAAAGCAGCTTCACTACTTTCTGTTTCTGAAAGGTGTTTAAATTATTTATTTGTGTATTTGCTATGATGTTCATCACAGCGCCAAATACTTAGGAACAATTAATGACAGAATTTTAATTTTTGGGTGAACTAACCCTTTAAATAAAATATTAAATGTGATGTTAATATGCTAACACAAATAAAAGCGCAAATAAATAAATAACACAAATGAATGTATTTTTATTATCATCATTCAGTATTATTATTTTATGTTATTATTGTTTTTTTAGGATGACCACACACTTCCACAGTGCTGGTAAATTGTGCGCTAACAGCTTCACCCTCTGCTGATTTGTGAAAGCACAGTTCCTGTGTGAACTGAAGTGTGTCCTCACAATTACGATACTGACTACTGTGACCCTAATAAGAACTTATGAAGTCGGCTGGGCCAGGAGAAGGCATCCTGTAGACATCTAGAGGTCCTTTCTGTAGGCACTCAGGGAATGTTTACATGACAACAATTTTTGCGTTGCGTTTCTGAAAAGTGTCACACACAGACGACAACATTGCCAAAATGAACCCTGTACACACAGTTCTGCGAAAATGACTAAAACCACTGTATTATGCATGCCAGGCCAGTAGCTGGCGATGTCGCTTTATAAAGAAACACTATGTGCCTAAGCACATACGCATTCCTATAGATTGACACAAAATATGTACATACATAACATCACCTTTTACACAAATTTGCATTATCATAAGTTTACACAGCTGTTTTCGCATACATAAATGGCCAAAACACATCAAATGTTTTCTGTTTTTAGTTGAAAATGGTGTGGTGTAAACAGCCCATCAGATTCAGGAGATATGGAGAGGTGGTATTAAGAGATAGTTCACCCAAAAATGAAATCAGTGGTTCAACCTTAATGTTATGAAGCTAGGAGAATACTTTTTGTGTGCAAAGAAAACAAAAATGATTAAAATAAATTCTTCTCTTCCATGTCAGTCTTCACGCATGCATCGTAGTACTCTCATGAACGTTTGTCAAAGACAGAAGAGAAGAAATTCTTGAATACGGTCATTATTTTTGTTTTCTTTGCGCACAAGAAATTAGCATCATAACATTACGGTGGACCACTGATGTCACATAAACTATTTTAACGATGTCCTTACTACCTTTCTGGGCCTTGAATGTGTCAGTTGCGTGGCTGTCTATGCAGGGTCAGAAAGCTCTTGGATTTCATCCAAATCTCTTAATTTGTGTTCTGAAGATGAATAAAGGTCTTACGGGTTTGGAACGGCATGAGGGTGAGTAATCAATGACAGAATTTTCATTTTTGAAAATGTGGATTCACTGGATTGTGGAATATTCCACAGAAAATTACAGAACATGACATGGTATGTTGTGACACTTCCAGTAGTGGCACATGCCGCTGTCTGTCAGAGCATAATGTAGATGGTAACATACGCACTTAACGGCAGAACAATATTTAATTAATTGTATGTTGCTTTCAGACATACCGGAGTTCATTTGCACAACCATTAGGCTTCTCCGCACTGTCCGTTTTATATCTGTTTCGTGTCCTACTGTGTTATTGCAGGGCAACTTCAATGATAAGCTTTTAAAGAAATTCCAGGAATCATCTGCATTATTATAACACATTATAATAAAAGCTTCACCTCACCATAATCCTTGAGGAATTCTCTTAATGAAGGCCAAACATACATGTCCAGTCTGGTTTATCAAACCCAACACACGCCTCCACTTGACACTAAGCCTTATCTAAGATTTAAGAGCATGTAATTGACCTATCATTTCCTCCTCCCCCTGTCCATCAGTATATTTTTGAATGTCAGAGAAACCGAGCGCATCAAATACAATAAGCACAAGGCTTCCCCCCTCTATTATGTCGTTCATTAATCCTAAAATTTGCACTGAAGCAAATCCACCCTTCACTCTCTCTCTCTTTAGGGTCAAAGGTCAAGATGTAATACTCTGTATAGGGTATATTTGATCCAGCTGTCTAAGGCTTATTACCGCATGAAATACTTTTTTTTTTACCTCACTAGCCTTTTTACTCCTTTGACCAAATTTAGCTTTTGATAGAATAAACACACATACAGTAATTCTGCAATCATGATCCTTATTCCGCAACAGAGGAATAAATTGGGCTGTTTATGTAGTTTTGATTAGATCATGGATATTGTAGTGTTGCATATGGCGAGTAGGTGGTTTGTGTCGCATGTAGATTGAACATTGCATGTTTTGTTAAACATGATCAAAGATCACAAACAACCATGAAAAACAGCCCTGATGGACAGCTAAATATGACCTTTGAAATGAGAAGATGCTTTGAACTCAGCTGTCCCAGACTAATGCCTTTTATTTATTAAATGCATTTTCATGCATTTTGGAATCATTTAAAAGTTCTTTTTAGATATGTGTGTTATTTTTATAGCAGACTATAGGTAACTGACAGTCAGGTAAATTTATTTAAATGTAGCAAATGTGCATGTTACATAAACACAAGTGTATTTTAGACTTTTCTATTCGCCAGTGAGACCAGTTACCTGACACGCCTCCTGCCATGTACACAGCCAGCATCACCCCTAGAGTAAAGCCAAAGTGGATGGTAAGATTTTCTCCATGTTTTTCTCTGCTGAGAATAGTCTGGGCCACTGAACCACAACCGAAGAGCTGCAAACAGGAAATGGGCAGAGAGAAGACAATTTAGGAAGACAATTAGTTGAAAAAAAGCTACCGCCAAATAGATAAGAAAAGCACTCTTGTTGTGGAGCACTTATTCAAAACTAATTAGTAGGACAGTTTTTTCAAATGGTCAGGCCATTATGGTCAGGGCGGCACCCCAAAGCAACAAAATCTGTCATGCTGAATCAGAATCTTTTCACGTAATTAACACCAGTAGAATACACTGTAGAAACGTCTAAGTGTATTTCATGTTTTAATATTAATTGAAATAATTTAAGTCAAAGAAGATTTGCAATAGGCTATTACTCACAACTTCAGGTACTAATGTTTGTAGTAAAATGTAGTTCTCTTCACTCTAAGTTGTCAAACCTGACATTAAAACATTTATAAAAAACAAAATAGTTCACTAAAAGGTAAAAATTTACAATACAAAGTACCGTACAAACCTTAAGATTAGTCAATTAAAAAATAATTGTGTAACATTTATAAATCACGTGAAAGCATCCGAGGTTCATGAAAAATGCCTTTTTCCTGAGAACAGGACAATTTCTTTATTTTACAGTCAACCCAGCCTGAACGTGTGTCAGCGTGTTCACTTGTTTACACAAGAGCTATAGCAAAAATGTTGTGATTGGAATTTATTGTAATTGTATTTTGGAGGACAATTACAAAAACAACAACAACAACAACAAAACAGGCACTTAAAACTAACATAAACCACTGCCAGAGAAATTGAGCATTTGTCTAATTAGACTAAAACCTTGTAGTTACTGAGATAAAGCCCTTCAAAGCATAAATCATAGCCATATGCAATTAAGTAGCCATTAGAACTGATCGATAAGAAGCATAAATAAGACGACACTTTACATCACTAGAGGGTGTTGCGTGTAATGCAGTGCATTTAGTCTAAATCATTATGTGGTCACACATATAGCTATTACTACCACAATAATATGCGGGCACACGTCTATAAAATATTAAGTGCTTCTTTAAAATGAAAGAATATCAACCTTAACACCACCCATATGACAAGAATGAAATTAGTTGAAAAAATGACATTCATTATAATTCTATTGCATTGAAATCTCAAAACTGTTAATCTCAGTTTACTTGGTTCTGAAGTCCTGACAGGCGAAAGACTTACTATTAGTACGAATGTCCCTAGTAATTCCGCCAGAAACTCTCTGATGATGTCCCGCCTCACGCTGCACCTCTCCCTCAAATTTCTGAAGTTTTCGAGCTCCATACTTTCCCCGACAGCTGAGATGTGATGTCCGGACAGACAGTTGAAGGCTGATCTCGCTGGAGTTTAAGTGTCTTAGGCTTTAACCTCCCCCGCCCCTCCTGCTGCTCAGATGTCATTAAACACACTGACATGACAGGTTGGTGCTTCCTCTTTGCTCTCACTCCATCCATCCTCTTCATGCTGAGACAAAGACGAGAGTCCCATCAACTAGTGGATGATATCGTTACGTTTGCGAACATTAAACACTACAGAAGCGACGTTAGAAATATTAGACAGTTCAATTCACATAAACTTTATTGTTAAAGAAGCGTAACTTATTTACGTACTACAATTATTAACAGAAGATATGCTATTCATTTTAGTAGGCTACTTTTCAGAATATATAAAATTAATTAGCCTACATTCTTTTTGCTGAATTGTTACACAACTGTGCGATTTTTATAAAATCATATCCCAATAGACCTTCACAATGGATCATCCACAGTAGATGACACTATCACTCAGTAGACTATTTTTAGTTTAAAACTCAAGCACAATGCACAAGCAAGTCTTGGTTTATTTATTCTCTAAACAGAAATACATCATATTTTATATGTTTAGTTTACTTGTTTGCTACTCAGTGGGATTTCTTATTTCTGAGTATTATTTCCAGTTCTCATTCGGAGAAGCGGGCACACTATAGCACAACTAAGAGTTGTAATACGTATATTTGTCCACCGGGTGGAACTATTTGACAAAGTAAAAACCAAGGGTGGCCAGAGTTTGACAGCGGCGTCCCGTGACTGTCGGTACAGACTGAAAAGAAGAAGCGATAGGATGGTAGCGGTAGGCCTATGTTTTGTTTGCATTAATCACTGTCACTTGTTCTGGGGTGTCGTCTTTGATGTGAGGCAGACACTGTCAGTGCTGTGAAATGAGGGGGATGTGCTGATGGAGAAAAAGCACCCCAGTGGGTTCTAACAAATTATAACACCCCATCCCCTTCATCATCTTAACAACCCCTCAGCCCTAGCATGTCACACATGATAACTGCTATCACGCAGCCTGCTCATTAAAAATGTATAAGTTATGTAGCCAGTTTAAGTGTGCATGACACAAAACTCTTTGGATTGCAAGCCTTGCATTTGTAGGTCATCATACAGAACATGTCATCATACAGAAAAGTCCATACAGACACAATTCACTAAAATCAGTTCGATTTTTCCATGTTGCTATTTTCCAAATGAATTGTTTAATATTCAGGCATTATTTATTTAATAGCAGGACACAGTGTGAACAACATTTTATGACAGGACATTATTATGTTACAAACAATTAGGATTTTATTTAGGCTAAAGTGTGATTTTTCCAACTACAGACAAGTTACGGTAGCCTATAAACGCTTCCAACTCCCAAGATTAGGCTAATCTCCTACAAGATTTCTCTGGTTAGCCCTCCGTGGAAGTGTGAAGGCGATTATTTGTTTTATTTATCTGCGACATAATCGTAGAAGTTTTTGCCGCGATCCGGTTTTGAAGAGCTTAATCCTTATCCACCAGTTACACAGTGGAAGTGTGAATGTCTGTGTTGGCTAATCCTTTAAAACACAACCTCTTTGAGAGTGTTAAAAGTCCTTTTAGATGGTCTTTAATGTTTATTGGAAATTCTGAGGTAAATGCTAACTGAGTCCCGGCGCTGCAGGAGGCACGACGAGGAAATAACCTGTGATCGCTTGATGTAGATCGACGAATAACATTCTGACGGGATAGATATGTTACAGGAGAATCTGTGAGAGTCAAAGGGGCAAACGGGCTTTGCCAAAGAAAACTTTAACGTTTACGTGCCAGTTTGAGCACCCCAATGGAGAGAAGTGAGAGAGAGAGAGTGAGTTTGAATATAGTAGCCTACTTTTATTGATCATTTCAGATAGCAAACAGACTGTATGCAAAGTACACGATGTTTATAGCCTAGTTTGAAAAGAAAAATAGATTTAATGGTCTGCTGTACAATTTTAGACCACCAGACGGGCGTTCAGGCTAGAGCATGGAAAATGTATTATTTTGAACAACTTTTTGAAAAATTTATTTTAAAAACTGCAGGAGGGTTGACGAGGAAATAACCTGTGATCGCTTGATGTAGATCGACGAATAACATTCTGACGGGATAGATGTGTTACAGGAGAATCTGTGAGAGTCAAAGGGGCAAACGGGCTTTGCCAAAGAAAACTTTAACGTTTACGTGCCAGTTTGAGCACCCCAATGGAGAGAAAGCCTAGCTAACCTTTATTTTTGAATATAGTAGCCTACTTTTATTGATCATTTCAGATAGCAAACAGACTGTATGCAAAGTACACGATGTTTATAGCCTAGTTTGAAAAGAAAAATAGATTTAATGGTCTGCTGTACAATTTTAGACCACCAGACGGGCGTTCAGGCTAGAGCATGGAAAATGTATTATTTTGAACAACTTTTTGAAAAATTTATTTTAAAAACATCTTAAAATAATTAGAATTTTTTTCCCTGTAAAACACATGAAAGGTGTGTTTAATACGGTCATATTAAATAAATATGTTATCAAATTATTTTTTTAAACTAGATCTTTACCTTAAAACGTTAACATTCAGTTGTGTTACTGAGTTAAATAATAAAATAGTATAGCCTATACTATTTTGACTTGAAACTGATCATTTAGATTCACATGAAACACATTTTCAGGTTACCTGACAAAACATTTTTACAGTGCAGTTTACTACTGCCTGTCAGTTGAATTTCTTCCTGATAAACCCTGATACTCCTACATACCGTTGTCTTGAGAGTGGGTGGTATCTCTCTCACTCAGTATGGTCAGAAAGGGAGAGAGAGTAGCCTAGTTTATGTAAATGCTCCATTTTAATTATATTAGGAGGACGGCCCAATTCTCTGCCCAATAAAAATGGACCAGGGCTGACACCTGGTTATAAACACAGGAAGGATTCCAAAGTAGTAATCGCAAATCGGCAGAAAAAAACCCAACCGGCATCTTCAAGAGACGCAATGACCTCCAGTAAAGTTGAACTGCCAGGAGAGGTGAAAAACGACCCGGAATACAATAATCATTACAAAACGTATTTTACAGCAATGAATGGTTTGTTGTATGTGAGCGTATCGTTATTAGACATAGTCATGGTTATATTTATTTATTTTTTAATCCAAAATAAACGTTTTTGTTTACATGATATGTGTGTATACTGTGTATATTTATTATGTATATATAAATACAAACACATGCATTTATATATTTAAGAAAAATATGTTATGTTTATATATTAAATGTATTTATATATAGTATAAAATATAAGAATATAGATATATAAATGTATATACATGTAAATATTTTCAAAATATATATATAATGTGGGTGTATATATACATAATAAATATACACAGTACACATACATATATTATGTAAAAATATATACTGTATGTGTGTGTATTTATATATAGATAATAAATATACACAGTACACATACATATATTATGTAAAAAATAAAAAAATTTTTTGGTTGCGATTAATCGTGATTAATCATTTGACAGCACTAATTTAAAGACTTATTTACAGTATAAGATTAACACTTGATATAATGAGTGCTGCAGTTTTTTTTTAAATTTAGTTTTTGTTTAATTTGTTCACATGCTAAATCCAAATAACCTGAATAGTTAGGATAGTTTCTTGTATGGTAAAATGACAGTAAAATTGCTACAACGTGGACTTTGTGCTCCCCAGTAAACTTTTTACCCCACCAATTACATTTGTGCCTATTATGTGACAGTCACTACACCTGCATTTGTTACAGACTTGAGATTAAAGACACTGATAGGGAACTTATCTGCTGTGCCATTGAACATTTACGACCGAGCTTCCGCTTATCACGCCGATATTTCTCAAAGTCCTGTTGTTTGGTGCAGACACCTGAGCTCAATACGCTTTACAGTCTTACAGAATCTCCTCTTGACTCCACACAGTGTATAAAGAGCGTGTTTGACTGGTCACGGGAGAGCTAGTCTGCTGAAGGAGTTCTCTTTCTCTCTTTCTCTGTCTGCTGGCCCACTGGGCTGATCATGGCACTAAGGAAGCCATAAATTTGTCTCCGGTGATGGCTGGTTATGGATGTTTTCTCTTTTTTTTCTCTTCGAATGGAAGAGAGAAAAAGAAAGGAAAGGTTATGTTGATAGGTGTGTGTATCAGTGTAATTGATTAGGGCCCAGGAGTCTTTTTGAAAGAGAGGTGTTGGATTCCAGCAGGCAGGGTGATGATTTGCTCACTCCATTCAGTTATAACACATAAGTGAAGCAGACCCTTGAGATTAAAACCTGGAAAAAGATAGGAAACAGGAGACAGGATGTTACTCTCTCGCTTTCCCCTGTGCTGTGCAACTGATAATTGCACATTTGGATTAGATGTGGTTTGCAGTCAGTGGAATTGATCAATGATATTCAATAAACATGTATAGATAAACTTTGCATAGAATTCTGGGTTTTCTAATGAATGTGGTTTAATTGTTCAAGGTATAATTCACTCAAAAATGAAAAATCATCATTTACTCACCTTTATGTCATTCCAAACCTTTTTTCTGTGGAACACAAAAGAAGATACTTTGAAGCATGTTTTCACGATAAAAATTAAGATATTTTTTGTCCATGCAATGAAAGTTAGTGTGGTCCAAAATATCTTGATTTTTCCAAAAATAAGAGTGAGTAAATGATAGAATTTTCATATTCGTCTGTGCACGTGTTCGTTTCTCTATACTGAGAGCTTCATGGAGAAAAAGACACTTGATAACCATTTGTTGGACATGTCTTTATATTTTAAGGGCTTAAGCGTCCAGCCAGGACAGTAGTGTGTGCTGAAGTGAGGACTTTTGTAAGCTAATCTGGGAGACAGCTTGAGTGAATGAGGTAGACCCCATCAATCCTTCAGTGCATGAGATAGTACAGATGGGAGTCAGGGGGGTTTTCTGCTCTAGAAGCTGTCCAGCAGGGTGTAATATATGGCCGTGTCTCACTGTTAGGGTCAGTGGCCCTGACTTACGAGAGTCTGTCCCATACCTCTGGAGTTTTTCACT